TCAACGTTCCCCTCAGGGCTTCCACAAGCTCCTTCAGCAGTTGGGAATACGTCAAGATCTTACTCTCTCGCGACGATTTTCGTCGAGCCTTCAAAGAATTCTAGCAATTCCATCGTCTCAGGTTCGTCTTCTTCTCTTCATCGCCTCCATTAGTGGTTTGTTCGGTTGGATCATGAGATTCGTTTGAGATTTGCATGTTAGCTCCTATTAGGTCCAGATTAGGTTTAGTTGATTGTGAGTTAGGGATTGATTCCTCGTGAGAGATGTGTGAAGTTTTGTTTGGGGTTCCCTTTTGTTTTCTGGGAATGGATTGAGAGAGGAAGATGAGTTGCAGAGAGACGGACGAAACGGCTAGTTCAGTTTGGTGAACAGTGATCAGAGAGATTGAGGGGGATTAGGTTTTTGTGGTTAGGGTTTCGTTGGGTTAGGTTTAGGTTTGGGCCAAGCCCAAACACGTTTTGCTGAACACTACCCCCATTTGCTCAATTCCCCCCCCTGGCGTGTGAGAGACAGAGTGATATTGATTTGGGCCTTAGGCCCTAAGGCTATTCACACCCCCCCTGGGCGTAAGCCCAGTGAAGAAATAACTGGAAACTTGCTAGCGCTGCACCCCCCCCCCCCCCCTGCGTTTTTTATTTTCATTAAATGATTTTTTGACTCATTTGGGCCTTACGCCCTTATTTCTAAGCGCACCCCCACCAATGTGAGCCCAGCCAGAATGAACTAGCTTGTCCTGCTATTCTCACCCCCCTCCATATTATTTCAATTTTGTTTTTTTCATTTCTTTGCATATTATAAAATTCATAATAAAATGTAAATAAGTGATTTTTTAACTCTTCTTTTTTCTACCATTTCATCATAATGTCTAGAAAATTGTATAAAAATAAAAATGCCATTTTATTTTTGTTTGCTATTTTTTGTATATTTTCCATTTAATTGACTTTTTTAATATCTTTAGTGCATACATATCATTAGAAAATTCATGAAAAATAGTAGGTTTAGTCAAATAATTCCGTTCTTTTTTCTGTAGACTCGTAATTCAGTGTAGAATTTTATAGTATAAAAACATTAGATTAATCATGCATTTTCATTTTAATTGCATTTTTTCATTGTTATTGATGTTGAATAAATTGGTTTGTGGATATGTCTGTGTTGCTGATTTTAGTTCTTTCATCTGGTGTTGAATTTTGTTCTGATTTTTCAGTATGTTATCCTAGAGCCATGTAGGTTTCCCATAGATTTTTGTTAGATTTTTGTAGGATGTTCTGAGGTGATTTGTCTGAGCTTGAGGATAGGAGAAGTCTTGATGACTTCTGACTTTGAAGTTCAACTGTGGTTGAACTTCAGAGATAGTTGCTTGAGGTTTGATGGCCTGTGGGTTCTTCTCAAAGGTGGAAGCTGGTTGCAGTCCTGTTGGAGCTTGCAAGGATGCAGTGGATTGAGGCTTAGTATAGGAGCTTGTTATCTGTTTGTGAGGTTCGAGATCCTGAAGTTTGAAGGGAGTTTATGGTACTTTCCTGAGGAAGGCACTATGAATGACTTTCATTCTTTCTTCTCACCCCTTTCGTAAGTATCCAATGATGTCGGAGCCGACTTGTGAGTTTAATTTCTCCTGAGGAGGAATGTAAACTGATCACATGTTGTTGAGCCACATGGGATACGATTCCTAAGTGGAAGCCCCCTAGTACTTTCCTGAGGAAGGTCCTATGGGTCTATTCACTTAGTTCCATTAGTTTATCTAGGATTTCCCAAGTATCCAGTGATGTTGGAGCCAACTTGTGAGTTTAATTTCTCCTGAGGAGGAATGTAGACCGATCACAGTTGTTGAGCCACGTAGGATACGATTCCTAAGTGTCAGCCTCCTAGTACTTTCCTGAGGAAGGTCCTATGGGTCTGTTCACTTAGTTCCCTTAGTGCATATAGATTTTCTCAAATATCCAGTGATGCCGGAGCCTTCATGTGAGTTTAGTTTCTCCTGAGGAGGAATGTAAACTGATCACAGTTGTCGAGCCGCATAGGATATGACTCCTGAGTAGTAACCTCCTGGTACTTTCCTGAGGAAGGCACTATGAGCTTGTCTGCTTAGCTCCCTTTCTCTGGTAAGCTTGTTCTGAAGCTTGGAGACTGGGGTTGATTCCTCTTGCTTAGGGTTTTTGCTTAGATCTTTGCTTAGGGTATTGTGTAGAGTTTTGTTTAGAGATAGATTAGGAGCTTGTTTCAGGTTTGTTAGGGGCCTTGCCCAGGAGTAGTTTCTTGTTTTGTAGATAGAGGCCCTGCTCAGGGTTAGTCTCTTTGTGTTGTTTGACTTGTATGATGTTATGTTGCATTAGACCTAGGTATTCATCTAGATAGTTCTGAATAGGTGCATCTTAGAAGTAGACTTGGTGTGCATGAGAAGTTGAGGTGGTCCTCCTTCTGCTTGTTTGTTATTGAGTGGCTTTGCTTGTTGGTATTTGGTAGAGCTGAGCTCCCTTACCCCTGTGGTTTGCGGCCTTCGCGCCTTGTTTGTTTAGTCGCTGCATTCATGCATATTCTCAGTATTTCTTTACTTTGCAGTTTCTTGTTTGTAGTTTAGTCCTGTTGCCATGATCCCTTAGGAGCTCTGACTTCTCCGCTGCGGAGTTGTTATGATAGACATTAGGACGGTCAGCCAGGCATGATAGCAGTAGGTAGATTCCCCTTTTCCAGCTATAGTTCTAGGGTTTCCCTTTCCTTCCAGTAGGAGCTTTTGAGTAGCTTGATCCGTAGTTAGCTGAACTACAGCTGCTCTGATTCCTTGTACCAGACAAGGATATGTAGGCATAGGATGCGATATCCTAGCGAGCACGCTAACAACTAACCTTTGTTCTCTCGCGGCTGTGCGATCGAGACTTTCCCGCTAACGACTAATTGTTTCCCTTTCCCTTGCCCGAGTGCATTTGAGACCAGATCGTAGTTGTAGGTTCCCGAGCCTTAGAGACCAGTTTGTTTTCTCACTGCTGTGTGAGAGCGCCAGTTTACCCGTAGTTAGTCGAACTACGTTTGCTCTGATCTTTCATACCAGATGAAAGTACGTAGGCACAGGACGCGATGTCCTGGCGAGCAACCTCTCCCCCGTTTAGTCGTAGGAAGTCGAACTACGTTGACTCTGACTTTCCCATTGCACGAGGGAATACGTAGGCTCAGAACACCGTATGTTCTGCCGAGTCCTGTCCTTTTATTTTCTTTTCAGACCAGCCATTAGCGTAGATAGATAATACACCCTTTTACCTATAAACACCAAGCGTGGATCCCATCGAGTACGATGGACGTGAGGGGTGCTAATACCTTCCCCTTGCGTAACCGACTCCCGAATCCAGGTTTTGGTTGCGACGACCATACCTTTTTCCCGTCTTTGCGAGGTTTACTTCGAGCGTTTCCTTTCCCGCTCTGAGGGATAAATAACGCACGGTGGCGACTCTCCTGTCAAGCCGGCGCCGATTTTCGCAGTAGCGACAACAGCGCTTCAAAATCTTCTGATAGTCTTACATCTGATGCTTCAGAGCTTTGCATAGTTTCTTTGTACTTATATTTGCTTCTTTTAAGAGTATTTAATTTTATGCCTGAAACAATAATACTTGAACAAATTTTAGAGTGTATATTTACTACAAAATTCCATAAAAGTTATCATCAAAACATAGAGATATAAGAAACACCAATCCGTGTTCTAACAATAAAGACGTTAGGGATCTTCAACGGCTACAAACAGAACCAAATCTTCTAGTACATCTTCTTTTCCAATAATGCAAGTGTTGAAACTTACACTCACAAGAGTATCCAAGAAACAAGACCTTTGTCTAGAGGATACAACTCTGATTCAAGTACAACACAACCTGTAGAAGATAATGCCAATAAATCTTGAATCTCGTGTTAGTAGAACTGACATGACATTACTCAACATCAAAGGTAGCATAACACGCTTCTGAGCTGGAATGTACTAGCGACTGCTTTTATAATCAGACGTCCTTGAGAGAACATGATCAGAACCGAACCAAAAGCCATTTTAGTGTCAGAACTAATTTCATTAAGTAAATATAATTCTGCACACAAAAGCTGGCTAGTTAGAGATCCTAATTGTTTTATTAAATACTTTTTTATCATCAAAATCTTGGAGGATTCATGGCATAAACCAAACTTGTTTCAACAGTTTATATCAACCGTGCTTAAATATCTTTCAAAAAATAAATAAGCATTAGGCACTTCTAGTTTGTGATATTACAACGGTGGAAGGCATAATCGTAGTAGTATTATGTTGCCGAAAATGTATTCTGTAGTAGTGTTCTTTTTGTAGTTTGATCAACCATGGGAGATCAAGCAGTGACCAAAGCAAATCTTGAGAGAATTACTATGTATCTTTTGTTGGTCTGAGATAAAAGTATTCTTTATTTCTTCACCAATGTCTTCAATAAGTAATTGTAAAAACAACTTCCAAGTTTCCTTTGTTTTTGTCTCCATTACACCAAAAGTCAAAGGGCAGTACTGATCATTTTGATCCCTAGCAACAACCACCAATAATTGTCCACCATGCTTGGTTTTAAGGCGACATCCATCCACTCCAATAAAAGGTCGACATCCTTTAATAAAACTTTTCATACAACCATCAAAGTAAAAATAAAATTTCCCAAATTTTGATATCACCGATGCTTGTCGTTGTCGCACTAGAAGACGAAACTACAATGTGTTAGCAAAAATGTGAACAAAATGTCAAAAGAACCTGTTTGGAAATCAACTAATTATAAGAGTTGAAAGATACATGAAATCAACTAATTATATTTATTTATTACAATGATGCAGTTTAATATAAAACACTATTTGGAAATAATATCATGAATAATTTGAAGAAGTTTTCCAGCTTATATTATATTAAATATTACATAATTTTGAAGAGCTGTGATTACTCTATTGAAAAACTCTTAACAAGATAATATAATTGAAATTTCTTCATTGCATACATAGTTTAGTGTTGCATGACTAGATACATATCAAACAGAAATTTTTGTAAGGGTGGCGTGCTTGAAGATCCAATGCTCTTTTCCTTCTCGAGGAGCAATGCTCTTCATAAATTCGTCACTCATACGCTCCATGTGTAGAACTTGAAGGTTCTTTAAGTGTAGAATGCTATTTGGTACCGTCTTGAGATTGATGATATACGTTACACAAAGCTTTTTCAGAGAAGGCAACGCACCTTCGTCAATAAGGATGTTATCCAACGGCCTCAATCTAAAAAGAGTTAGTTCCTTCAAATTCTTAAACGAGCCATCTTCAAAATTTATGCTTTGGTCTGTATAAGAATTGCTACCAAGATAGAGGGACAACAAGTTTGGCATAGTTTTTAATAATTTAAATTCACCGTTCCCTAGCTCTGACTCATGGAGTATCAGCATAACAAGATTTTGATGCTTTGGGATCCATTCTGGCAACTTCCATAGTTTTCCTTTGAGTGTAAGATATCGAAGCAAAGGCGGGGTGAACTCAAATCCAGATCATTAATGATTGGTCTCGGATGTTTTCCGTGAATAGTTAGTTCCTTCAATTGTTGCATCTGGTTGATCGAAGAAGACAGAGCACTCATATTTATTTATAATTCCAGACACACACAACTCCTTTAGTTGCTTTAGCTTTCCCAGCTCTTGGATTAGCTCTACTACTTTATTATCATCTTGGACTTCACCTTCATATAAATAAACATTTCTTAGAGTTTGTAGAGACGTCATATCTCCGATACCATCCTTCAATCCAATCAAAGACATGTTGTAGCCTAGAAAATGACGTAGCTTTGTAAGCTTGCAAATCTCCTTTGGCATAGTATAGCTTCTCAGGTGACCTAAATCTAAGGTTTCTAGATTTTGGAGCTTGCCGAATATGGATTTTGAAGATTCAAAATTGAATGGAGTAATGTGTTCGACACTGATATACTTCAAATGGATCAAACTTTCCCAATCTTTTGAAACTTCAAGCAATCCATTTTGCTCAATAGCAAGCACCTTCAACACCCTGTACTTGGAAGGGATTCTTTTTACACGGGATTCGGGTAATGTTTTGGATCCGAAAACAAACAGTGATTCAACTTTTGAGCTTTCAATACTTTCCACCAAATTATAAGAACCGGATGCTATTGATAGGCGTCGAACTATTGCAGATGAAGATGACTGGCCATCCCCACTGATATTCTTACAAAAACTCAAGTCCTCGCATTTTTCAAGGATCATTGCATGCACTAGATCATGAACACGACAACTTTCTGCTCTTCCATCAATACTCATTGAAACTACCTGCACCAAGCTTCTACGGATCAACTCTATTAAATATCCTTCTGCAACTTCTTCTGAAGTGTGTACCATATCCTCTTTCACAAACCCTTCAGCACTCCATTGTCTAATCAGCATCTTTGCATTAACTTTGTAGTCTTCAGGATACATCCCAAAGTATAACAAACATGGCTTAAGATTGTCAGGCAAACATGGTAACTTAGAGCTAAAATACGATTTATCCTAGAATCTCTATTAATCTCTGAATCCACATGTTCAATAAACCTATCCCATTCAAATTTATTTCTATCTTTCTGAGACAAAAGTCCTCCAATGACTACAATCACTAGTGGTAATCCTTTGCATTTTTCAATAAGTTGTGAAGATGCATGAATAAGATTTTTAGGACAACGTCCGTCCAAATCACGGAATGCCTTCTTATTGAACAATTCTATAGATTCCTTATGATTCAAACTTTTCAGCTCAAGCACTTTAACAAAAGAAGATCTCTTAAAAGCATTTGCAACACTCATTTTCCTTGTTGTTATTAATACCCTAGAACCATTAATTTTATCAATCATTGCAAATACAATATCATCCCAAAATGTAGTGTTCCATACATCATCAAACACAACAACATACCTTCTTTTCAGCAAGTAGTCTCTCACTTCATCAACTAATGATTTTTGATGAATACTTTGAGGCGGATTGGTTTCCTGTTTGTAAAACTGGTACAAAATGTCCTTCAACAAATTTTCTTTATTGTATGATTGAGACACTGTGATCCATGCATGACAGTCAAAGTGTTTAACGACCTTGTTGTCGTTAAAAACTTTCTGGGCTACAGTGGTTTTACCCTGTCCTCCCATTCCAACAATGGAGACGACTGTGCGCTCTAGTCTTCCCTCTACCAACCAATCAAACAGTTCGCCTCTTGGCTTTTCAAAGCCTACAACATCAGTTTCCTCCATGTAAAACGGAGCCTCCCGAAGGTTCTGCAATAATGTGGCATTTGGATTTTCAGAAGAACTGCTTGATCCTATTTCCCAAGAAGAATGGATAGGGATGCCATGATCATTTTCAAATGTATCTTTTATTACAGCAATTCGGGATTTGATGTTCTGAATCTTGTAGGCTATGTCGAGACGGAGAATCTTAGTCTTGACATAGTTAGCACCATAGTTAGCAACAGCAGCACATCAAGGATCCGGAAGTTGTTGCTCCTCACGGATCAAGTATTCATAAATGACATCTTGTATGTGAAAAGATGCTTCTATCAGCTGCTTGATCTTTGCTCTCATTTTGAGACGTGTGTTGTCTTCTTGTGAATCAGCTATTGTATCTGCTTTGTTGATGAAGTCTTCAATGTGTTCTAGTTCATCTTGCATTTCTGCAATTTCTCGAGGGACACCTCTAATTATGTTGACTGCCTCATTTAATAATGGAAGCAATGATCACGGGCAAGTGGAAGCAAGTGATCACAAGCACATGAGAGTGCAGCGTCACACATTTTGTTATATGTATGTTTGATTTAAATTTACTAATATTGTGAGAGAAATGAGTGATGATAAAATTATCTATCGGTGCTTACAACATTTATACTGCACATAGTGTAGTTGTGTGAGGGGAATACATTGACTTTGAGTTTCCCTCTTGGTCATTCTTTAATAATGATCCTACAATTGATATATGTCATTTTTCCTTTTTAAATTTTGTCGTGGAAGAGCACTCAAGCACATAGTATATTTGCATTCTTTATGGGATAATGTAGTTTTGAATGTGCAAATGGATTTATAATAGTTTGTTGCGGAACTTAGCCGCCATCTTTGAAGCATTCACACAAATTTTATTTTTTTTATTTCTTTGTATGTATATGTTTGTTGTAGTATTTTTTACCTAAATAATTTAATTTTTTAAAAAAAATTCTAAAATATATATATTTTTTAAAAATATTTTCAAAGTACCTCAGTTAGGGTTTGGACTTACAAGGGCATCATTTTAATTGGCGACTCTTTGTTAAGGGTATAAGGGTATCGCCAATTAGATTGGAGACACTTCATGCAGTCTCCACTACGTCAAAAGTAGTTTTTGGCAGCACTATAAAGACAACGCTTTTATAGAAAAAGGCTACTAAAAGATAAATTTTTTATAAAATAAAACAAGGGAAAAAGCGATGCTAAATGGGGTCTTTAGAAAGCGCTTTTGTAAAGCGCTGCTAAAGGTCATAAGTGAGTAACCAATAGAAAGTGCTTTTGTAAAGCACTGCTAAAGGTCATAAGTGAGTAACTAATAGAAAGCGCTTTTGGAGAAAGCACTACTAAAGCCTAATATTAGAAAGCGCTTTAAAAAAGCGCTACTATAGGGGGTACCTTAGACAACGTTTTTCAAAAGCGATGCCATAGGGGGTGTCTAGGTCACACCATAGACAACCCTTTTCAAAAGAGATGCTAAATGGCTAACATATGAAAGCGCTTTTCCAAGGAAAACGCTGCTATAGGGGGGAAAGAAAGCGATTTTAAAAAGCGCTGCTATAGGTCTGTTTTCTTAAATTAAAACAGAATGCGTATTTTACTTCTAACGTATTCTGTTTCACTCTCTCACTCTCAGACGAACATACGAACCCTATCAGACCTTCGACCTTAGTTTCTTCCTCCGTGCAGTCGTGCCACCTTCGTTCATCGTCTCGAACCGCCGTAGCAACCTCCAACCTTTGTTTCTTCATCATCTCGAACCGCTGTCGCAACCTCGTGACACCATTGTTGAAGGTATTTCTTCATTTTCTTCATTTTTTACAGTTTAAAAGTTATTTGCATGGTATTTGTTTAATTGTTTATTTGTTTATTTGTTTACATTGTGATGTTGTTGTTATTTGACTTCAATAGAAGTTTGAATGTTATTTTAGTAGTAAGGTTCAAGATGATGAATATTGAGGTTTGTGGTGATTTTCTTTCGATTTTTGGTGTTAATAATTTTATAAGTTAATGTTGAATGTTAGTGATGATAAATAGTGATAATGATTTTGTCTTGATCGAATTTTTTTATTTCAAATGATAACTAAATTAATTGTTAATAGTTAAGGTTGAAGATGGTGAATAGTGATGACATTGTGAATTTATTTTTTATAATTGAAACTTGAATGACATTCGTGAACAAATTGTTGAACATTGTGATGTTGCTGATTGTTTGAACTTAAGTGACGAAAAGTTGTTATATTTGGTAAATTTTATGTGGATTTGACAATTTTGGTGATTGATTTACGCTCGAATTAATGATTGTTTGTGACTTACTTGAGTTAAAACATTAAGTGTGATTGAATTTGCGTGTTTGCTATAGTTGTTCGGTATCTATAGTTGCGTGAATAATTAGTGTTTTTATTTAGCATACTTAGTAAAAACAATTGATAAAAAATGGATGTCTTTCAATCAATTGTCAAAAGAGTACGAGGATGGGGTATCAAAATTCGTTAAGTTTGCTGTTGAACACGCCAAAGACCCCAGTCGGATCACATGTCCTTGCTTAAGTTGTTGTTATGGGCGTCGGATTGACGCAATTTAGTTGGAATCACATTTAAAGAGGCATGAAATTGATCGAAGTTATACGTGTCGGATATTACATGGTGAGATAAGTAATGATAATGTTGAACCGAGGGATAATATGACCTATGCTTCAAAGGACAATGGCACATATACATACGTCTGTGATCGAGTCGAAGAGATTGCAGAAGCACTTGAAGACGATCTTCAAGATCGAAGACTTAATGATTTTGTGGGAGAACGGTGTGGAGGTTTATGATGGATACAGGAAATAAATTTTTAATTTGAGGGTGATGTTGTTTGACACAATTAATGATTTTCCAGCATACGGAAACCTATTGGGGTATAACATTAAAGGTTAATATGCGTGTCCTATTTGCGAAGAAAACACAGATTGGACGCGATTGGAATTTTGTCTAAAGAAAGTCTTTCTCGGTCATCGTAGATTCTTAAATTCCAATCATCACTACCGTTGATGGAGAAAAGCATTCAATGGAAATCAAGAACAAGGTAGAGTTCCACCTACATTGACAGGTGATCAAATTTTTGAAAAGGTGAAAGATGTGAGTACTCAGTTTGGCAAGCCTTTTGCACATACTATTG